AAGGAAAGGAAAGGAAAGGAAAGGAAAGGAAAGGAAAGGAAAGGAAAGGAAAGGAAAGGAAAGGAAAGGAAAGGAAAGGAAAGGAAAGGAAAGGAGGATATGTCTTGAAGTTCAATTTCACTGGAGATCAGGAAAACATGCAAATCCATAAATCCCTGCAAGGACTGATGGGATATACAGAGAGAGACTTAAATCATATAATCTGAAAGCATGATTATGTTACGACATGAGTCTTCATAAATCTGCACAGGAACATTTCGAATTCAGAGCCGTGGATTTGCAGACTACAGGCTTCAACTCAAAGTTGTAATGGGTGAAAAAAGTTAGAGGCACTTTTTTTATTCCCTTAAACAGCAGCAACCAGCCAGTTCTGATAACACAGCATTAGAGGATTAAGTCGTGTACATTTGAATTTATTTAAATTTTGGAAAACCATCAGAAAGAATGTGTTTTCTTGGTGTGTGTTTACCAAAATATTCTAACACTAACATACAAATTGATGTGTTATTTCTGCATCCTCAGTGTTGACTTTGTGAAGATTATTGCTGCCATAAGAGGCTTCATAAATCAGCACAGTGCTCCCTCCAGTGGAAAACTGTGGAAGAACAACAGCATCTGAGACAAAGGTGAAAAGGCCCGATTGGAGGGAAGGGGGCAAGTGAAAGCATAACTGAAGACTTGTGCCACTTATACAGTCATAATAGCCAGAAGCTATAATAATTATATTAAACAAATAGACTAACTCCAAATGAACAACTGGAATTATATCATCAAGAATAAATCAAAACAAACCTTGATAAAAATTGCACACCACCCTTCAAACACTGAATAATGTATTTTCTATTTCAAATGCCCTCAAGCCAAACTATTAGACATTTGTAAATTATTATCACACTTGTCAGTGAGGCTGACTATACCTTGGAGAACACTAGCAATCACCGACATCTCTACTATCACCGTTATCCTGAGAAATCGGCGCTTTTTTCTCTGGTCGGTTTATCATAGCGGGGAGGTTTCTCTGTGCTTTGTCTAAAATAATGAACATTCCCATATCCCCCGGCTAGCCAGACACTCATTTATCTCCACTAAATGATGTGAAACACTGTGGAGAATGGAGTAATTAGAATGTGGGGATAATTAAAATTGTCCCACTTTGCCTCGTTTTCCTCACTCCTCTGCCACCATGGCACCGCAGGCGCTGGGTGAAATGAGGTAAGACGCAATCTGCAGCACTTCGAAGCTTTTCCAAACAGGAGACTTGAGAAACAAAAGGCTGATCAACATAAAGAAAGGACAAATAGTTTGGGTGAATGTGTGTTTGTTTTTGAAGAAAATGCCACAGTTTTGGCAGTCTGTGGCAAGTTTGGATTGAGCATCCAAGTGTTCAGGCTAAGGTCAGTGCCCACAGCCGGCTGGAGAGTTAAGGGAGCGGGCTGTTTTAAGTGCCAACGGCATCCTCATGTTGTTTATGGTAATGAACAGCAGGGGGTTCGTGAGGAGGAGGGTGGAAAAAGACCCAAGATCAGAATGAAACTACAAGGACAGAAGGAAAGAAAGGGCATTCAAAACAAGACGGCAGATGAAGGTGCTGGATGAAAAGAAAAGAGCTGCTGTGTCTGATGGTCATGGTCACATTGTTGCTCTCAATGTGGAAAATAATATGACAGTAAATCAAAAATCTAAGGAAATTAGGGGTACAGCAAAGGTAAAGATGAAAGGAAAGGATGGAAAAATGCAGCAGGGCACAAATCAGACAGCTCGTGTTAGACGAGAGCAGGAGGTGAAAGACACAAAGGTGAGATGAAGATCACTGACTTAACACTTGTGTTCTATTCTTGTTTACTGGTTTGCAGTGAATATTTTTTCCTCTTATAAACAATCCCGATTAGTAAAGTACATTAGTCTGTATGGCTGAAAGAGGTCGATTCCCCGAAAAGGCTTTGGATTTGTTGGCCATATATTTCAGATCCCAGTTTTGACTGATTACTGAATTTAACCATACAGCAGATACACAGAAGAACAACTGTGAGGTTACAACGGCAAAGCAAGTTTCAATGTTAATTAAAAACTGCGAAGAGTTTCAGAAAGTTTTGTGCGGCATCTTCAACTAAATGTTTTCTTTCATCATGAGTTCAAATTAGAGTCTCCTCTATATCAAGAGCAAGGCAAGCTTTTCTTTAAGTATTTCACTCACTTCTAAAACTGGCACATTGGAATCATGGAGGAGTCTTCACTGAAGCTGCATTTGACCTCACCCATTAGCTCTCCCTTGAGATTGAAACTCATTGACACAAAATGAAGAGTGAATACAGTGATGTCCCTTCCCTTTCTTCTTTGTTCATGTCTAGGTTATCAACACTGGTCCAAAAAAGGAAAAAATGTTTCCGGTGGTTACTGGCTATCAGACAGTGCCAAGGTAATGGAAGTGACAAGCGTATCAGAGGGAGAGTGGATGGCACACGGCCTGTCCCAGCAATCACTGCGTCGACCCTGATCAGTCCAGACATAATCTTAATTAGAAAGTGATGCTGTTCACTCACCTGTCTCCAGTTCAGTGTTCCAGAACGCACACTCGCACCCAACACGTACTATGTGCACATCTGTTAATGTGCCAAGACACATACACACTACATTTTGCTATGAATACGGTGCTGCTAATGCAATATGCTGTCAGCACCACAGAAAACTGTTATCGGAGGAAGAATATGGTTATGATTACAGTGTTAAATCCGTAGGATTCACAGACTCACTGTAACCATCATGTTGGGCTTATATATGCTCTATATATTATGACTGTGACAACAGAAAATCCACTGAGAATCTCCCATCTTTTTAGACCAACACTTTTTTTTTGGTTTCATGTGACATGCAGAAACAATTCAAAGCAAAGTAATCAGAAAATCCACACACGTTCCTGCATTTAACAGGATCTGGAAAAATTACACAAAAAAGAGCATAAATCAACTGTTGTGTGTCTGTACGTATTTAACTGTGTCTTGCTACTACAAGTTTAAAAGAAACTGAAGCGGATTATTGTGTCATTGTGACCCCCTGTGGAAATGACCCATGTGGTCATTGCCAACAATGCCATTTCACAGTTATTCAGTGACCCCTATGTGGGAAACTAGAAAATAAAGAAGGTCAGTTTGTATTCTGCATCATATACATGCATACATTTCCTTATGGATTGGCATAGATTAGCAAATCACTAGCTCAATAAAAAGGTATAGTTAAACACTACAGTGTGCATCAGAAACAACTAATTGTGAGTTTTTCAGCAAAACAATGTTCTTGGATATTGTAGGAGCTGAGATAATAAATCATTCACGCAGAGGGAAAGACAAACTATTCTGGAGAAACACACTGCATGCCTAAAGAAATGAATAAGGAATTTGATATTACAACATTTTTGTGACAGCCTTTTGCAAAAATAGCCACACTGCCGTTTTGTTATGTGGCGTTTTGCACACACCTTTTTTTGTATGTGTAATTTTGCCCATAGTGTTATTCTCTCAAGTCCTGTATATAACACAAACAATAATTGGTGTATGTTTTTTTTAATGTTAAACTAGATACCTTGTATATAACATATAACTTGGATACATTTGATTGTGTAGATAGTGATGCATTTTTTACATTGTTTGATCAATTGTAACCCAGGGGAGATGAGATCATAGTGCATCTTTTCTTTAGAAGTCTGAGGAAAAGCATCGCACATTAAGTATCATGCTAGGGCTTACTGGTGTGCCGGTCAATCACTTCTCGTATCTGCTGAATTTTTTCATCCAGCACTCATTCTATTGAACCTTTTAGCTTTGTTCAGACTTAGTTTGGCAAACTCTTCCTATATAAAACATGAAAGCAAAGCGACTGCTGAAATTTGTTCAAACATAAATCCAGCCTGTGTTGGCTTGTTGATCAAATGATTGTGTTTTCCTTTGCTGTCTGGCATGAAATGTAAGAAATGTCCCCGAAGATGTCAGGCTGCAAGATGACAATGCAACAAATCAAAGACTAAGAAAGCTAAGACTAAAGCTGCCAAAACATCAAACACTGAGCACCAAAAACTCCATCCTCTGTTGGGCTAAACTGTTATTTTTGCCTGTCTGAATTTTTTACCTGGCTTGGTGTGTGAAACTGTGGCTTTGTAAAACATATCTTACTTTGTATCCAGTCCCAATGCAAGTTTTATCTTCCTGATGATCCCTGTGGCTCTGCAAGGACAGACAAGGTTCCTCCTCATAAGTATCATCTGGGCTCTCCAGTGGCAAACCTGACACATCATCCAGGATGTCTTCTACAAAAAGGACAAAAGGCAAAGCTGACAAAGAAGACTACACATACACATACCTATACCAAGCTGCTTTCATTTATTTGTGCACTTCATCTGCATTTACTTTGAGAGCCTGGGTGAGTCTGGCTGATTTTTAAAAGGTCACAAGTATGTAGTCGTAACTTTTTAATGAAAATAATAATTTAATAGCATCCTCTTTGTGTTGGATTAAAGTGACAGCAATTAAAGATTCCTATAACCTTTAGTGTTTCTTATTATGATATCACTGTTTAGTAAAATTAGTTATTATTCCTTCCATTTTAAAGTCTCTGTGCTGAAGAACTCTTTTATACACCTGTGTCCTCAAAGCATGACATCATCAATAACCTCCATCTGGCTGCTTAAGTGTTTTTCTCTCCATCTGACCCTTTGCATATGGCATATCCTGCATGATGACAGCTCCACGCTGCTGAAGGATTCATATTAATATTCATATTGCTCCGAGTTCCAAACAATGCCAGCTTGTCAGGCTGCGCATTGCAAGTCCTGGTTTATAAGGAATACAAATGATGCCCTTGCACAAATAAAAAGAGCAGGTCAAAGGAAGGATGGCGGCTGCCTGCAGGTTAGTTATCAGACAGCATCCATGCATAATTAGTAGATCGCCCTGTTCACCTCACTGCATGCAAAAGATGTATCTGAAACCTCTCTTTTTCACCACAGAAAGTTGGGTTTTAGAGGGTGAATGATCACGCAACACAAGATATGTGAATGCAATGCTAAGGACAAAAAAAAGGAAGAATCATTTTGTTCTTTTTCCTTTATTGTCATTCATTCAGAACTATGCATGTCTAAGTAAATACGTCAGTATTATAAATATCAACTAAGAAAAACTGCTTACATGTAGATTATTTTAAAAAGCAAACAGCTTATTCAACTGATCCCCAAATCTTTTGGGACAGGAAACCTTACCTTGGCTCTGGGAAAAAATGTCTGTGGCTAGGTTTTGTTCCACATCAGAGCGCCGGGGTGGACAGTAGCACACCATCCGAGGATCCAACTGGGGCAGGGTGCTGATGCTCAAGGTCAGGGTTTGGTTTGTAAATGCAGACATCATGTCATCCTTCTGGAGGGCAGATGCCTCTTTACCATTAAGTAACAGAATCTCATCCCCTGCTTTCAAACCTGACAGAGAATCGGGCAAAAAAAATGTAACAAATGTGAAATTTCACTAAGCATATGGTAAAAAACAGTTTAAGAAACAAAGTCAATATGAAATAAATTATTTTAGAGAAAGTTTTCAAACAATGCACAGTCAGTAAAAGCATTATCTGTGAGTTCATGACCCAAAAAACATCCAACCAACAGCAGAATTCCTATGGGCCGCTCAAAAGCACTGCTCACAGATGACTTATGTAAACAAAACTTTTGCACCATACTTCCCAGCAGCACCTCGGAGACTAATCAGGTGCTCCGAGATGCAAATGTGTTCCATCACATCAAAAATGCATCCTTCTATGATTGCTTGCCTGAGGCAAATACTGATCTAACAAGACGGGGTGGGTTTAAGAGGCAAAGTACAATGTCTGTCTATTCCTGTCCTGTCCTGCCCACTGTGTGTATACGTTCTTCATGGTACAATAGGTGAACAAACAAAACACTGGAACATAGCTTCAGTTTGAGCCTTGCTCTTTGTCTTGCTGCTCCTCCTCTCAAGCACCTGTGCCCCATTCTGTTAATAATTGAGAATCATAACTCAATCAGCAATCCAATTAGCAGCTAACCTTATCAATAAACCCAATTGGCTGTGACAGCTGTTTAGAGATGTGGCAGCAGCCTCATCTCATCTAGTAACACACAAGGGGATTTTTGGACATGTTTTGACTGCAGTCATCTGTGAGTATGAGCTTATCTTCCTATTTCAGTCTCATTTTAAATTATTTGCTGCAACAGAGACAGCAGAGACATTATTCAGTAGGATTCTCATAGAACAGCAACACACAGTTCCATACATATAGACGCATAAGGCACACATTTAGCCTTAAGTTATGACCTAGTTGTCTGAAATGTGAAGTGTCAGCTGTAGCAGAGGCTTTATTGGGCAGAGAGAGATAACCCCTCTGGTCATATACTGCTGCGTGTGTATGCCTGTGTGCAATGCATGGATGTGCCTTTGTGTGTGCTGCTGTGTGAGGAGGGGAAACGGGAATTACAGTGAAAGAGCGAGAGCGGGAGTGAGAGAGAAATAGACCCTTTGGGGCTCCTTGTCCAGTGCTGGCCTGGTTTCTGCATGTACCCTGCAGAAAATCAAGCGTGATGTCTTTCAACTCCCCATTCACTCTCTGCACTGTTAATAAACCACACACATACACACAGGCTCATCACAGTGTTCATGTGGACCCACTAAACTGCATCTAACTCTGTGATTCAGCAGAATATCGTGCCCAGATTGCAATAAGATGCTTTGTCGTATGTGGATGCTTCAATCTTTTTCTACTTCTAACATCAACTGAGTCCTGTGTCTTTTGGCAGCCTGCTAAGATAGCAGCTTTCAGATTGCTAATACACTAGAGGGCACAATCTCACACTTGAGTAACCTTGGTCTGACCCAGGGGCTTAGTTTTGGGGCATGTTATTTTCTATACATTAGTGTTGTATCTACCAGGCAGCCATATGTTTCTCAAACCCATTAGAGTGTCACTGTCTCAGTTAGAAGATAGGGACCAGTGAAGGGGGGGGGTTGATCTCCAGACCCAGCAGTGCAAAGCAGAGAGTGCAATAGAAAACAGCCACAAATCAACGCCTTATAAAATCTCTTTGTTCTTGTTTTATGGTTTGTTTGTTTGTTTGTTTGTTTGTTTGTTTTATTTTATGGATAAAGGTTTTGGAACGTCATGCCTTCAGAATAAAAGCATAAAAACATCACTTTGGCCATTGTTCTTGACTCTAGCATCTCTTGGCTGGGAATGCGTTCTCTATAAGCATCACTTGTAAGTGTGCTACAGTAATGGGTTAATCTCCTTTACACATGTCAACGTATGCATAAAATGTGTACCTTTCGCTGAAGCCATTCCTCCTGCTTTCACTTCAGTAACTTGGAGCTGCTGCACCCCATCCTCCTCTAAAACTGCCACAGAAAAACCTGCAGACATAGATAGTTAGACACAGAGAAATTCATTTAATTCCTTCGGTCGTCTTTGAAATATTTCTATTTGACAGCGTAAACTGCTGTATAACCACAGCAATTAAATCCACTCCATATCATGTGTGCCCTTCATTTGGGTAATTCCCTTTTATTCATTAACAAAGCATGACTAGATGAAGTCCATTAGAAAATCAATTTGAAACAGAATTTATGGGTGTGTCAAGAACTGACTGCTATTGTCAGAAATAAGCATACCATATCCGTTGTTGCAGAACTCGGCTTTGTCAAACTGGACGACTTTGGTACTTTTGGGATAAATCTCAATCTCTTTGTAGAGCTGTAAACACACAACAGCACATATATAAATAAATAATTGTAATTAAAGAGAAACAAACAAATAGAGATAGATATATCTATATATAGGGAAAAATGGATGGGTAGCAGTGTTGTTGGACAGATAAGGTCAAGGTCATGCTGTTGTTATTAATAAGAAATGAACAGGTTCATGTATTATTCTGGCTCCTTAGCCAAGCAATTGTATCTGAAGGTTGTGGGGTCAAAATCCAGGTCAGGGCTATGAAGTGAGTGGGTGCTCAGACAAGACCCTGAGCTCACAAAAGCCTAGAACATGGACACAGCTGTGTGTATGCAGCAACAGACAGGAACAGAAGTCCGCAGTGTGTAGTAGCCTTCACTGAGGAGAAATAATAACGTAATATCATAGACTAAGGATGAAAGCGGGTGAAATGAGTCACTGATCAAAGCAGGAAGATAAAAGAGCTCTTGAGGAAAAGAGCGAGTTATAAAAATGATTGTGCTTTGAGAAAGATTTCAGTGTATCACCTACAAGGCGCAATCAAAAAGAGGATTTGTTTCGGGGTTTACAGCAGATGAATAATGCGGTGGTGGTGGGGACTTTCAGTGAGTGTGACTGTTCTTATGATAAATAGACGCACACAAACACAAACGGTGACTTCGTAGTGCACACAATAGACTTGAAATGCTACTTTGCATAATTTATAGTTTATGCAATAGTGCTTCTTTTCCATCCTGGTGATTTTGTATGCACGGCAAATCAAAACGGCAACCAACTCATGAAAAATGCACAAGCATTCATCCATATCTGACAATAAAAATATGAATAAGAAGATGGCAAATCCAAATAACATACTGCAATAAACTTAGAATCACACAAACAGCATAATAATGTGTGCTGCATGTCTTTGATTAACTTATATGGATATTTAAACCTAGGATATTCACCTGGTTATTACTTAAAAATATATATCTAATGTGGCTTAGTGTGTATTTCCTCACCAGATCGGAGATGTCCTCTTCAAATGTGGGAACATAATAAAGTATTTGGTTGTCAACCAGCACCTTCAAACGCAGGTAGTGGCCAGAGGGATCGATCTTATGGGTCTGGGGGCAACAAGAACATATTACTTGTACATGCGAGTACATGTTTAAGTTTTAAAGTATCTGGTGACTGGCAATAAGGAGAAAGGTAAAGAGAAACCAACATAAAGTGTGTCATTAAAATGTTATGCCACCGCCTACCGCAGATACTTCAAATTTCAGTCCACTTTGACATCAGTTCAACAAATGACTGGACCTCTATTCAAAAAGACATTCCCTATATTGAGTTTTAATAATAGTGCTGGGGAATGCTGTCTAACATGCTGGTCCAAAATCATGGATGATGATGATGATGGATGCTCTGCTTCACTCTGTTACGTTTGTGACTTGCATGCACATATGCGTCATTAGGCAATATTACGCCTATTATGTGTCTCTTGCTGAAGCCAATTAAGGAGAAAAGGTAATGAAGTTAAAACAAGTGATGGACTGTGAATGACAGCAATATACAGTGTATCCTGAAAGGTAAGAGCATTATTAAAAGATCTGTGACTCTGTGAGAACTGTCATAGAAGTAGAACTGAAAGAACTCGGTTACATTCAAATTTATATATGTACATTGAAGAAGACCGTATCTGAACCGCTGATAATGTGCATCAATGTGCTGTCAACAATGACAGCTGACAGTAATATGGCAGATCTTCATTTTCCTCATATAACTTAATGGTATTCTGACCTCTCTACAGGGCTGTGTCTAATTTCTTAATACCTTGGGGATTGCCTGTGTTTTGAAAAAGCTGTTGAGAAGAATTAATTGCATTCCTAGCCGCTTGAATGCTGTGTGTGTCATTCTGCGTCTGCAAGCTAGCAGGTAATAAAGCTGCATATTGGAGGTGGGTGACAGACAGCCACACTTCCAAAACCTCCAAATCACAAATGATTTAGTGATCATAAAATCCATTGAGAATTTGCTAATTAATGATGATTTATCACATGAATCATGACATAATTCTCTCAGCTGCCTTTACAGGTTTAAAGTATCGGTGACTGTATTGGTATTGGCAATATTGGCCCTGTATTTACTTTGGATCAATACTAAAATTTGCAGTATTATAAAGTGCTACTGTGTATGCAATAAAAAGAGGAAACATTGTGCAGTCTGTCACTTTGCAAACTGTCAATCTAAAGTACATCAGTGTTACATTGGTGATTATATGCAGTGCACTGTGTAAAATGCATTTCTCTTATGTGCAGTCTCTGGTAATGCAATATTTGCAATGCTGTTTTTAATGGCCCACCTTGCAGACAGTGTTCAAGACTTCCAGTGTTGTCTCTCCGGGCTGTATGACGGCCAGGATGGGCTGGTTGTTCGGCAAACACACCCAGGAGGGTTTCAGGTACTCAGGAACCCAAATATCACTGTCTACATTTTGCTGAGGAAGACTTTTCACAGAAGCTTCTCTCTCCTTCTGAAAATAAAAACAAGCACAGACACTCAGCAAGTTTAAGTTTATGCATCTTTGAGCAGCTGCAGTGGCAGAAAGCATAAACAGACAAGGCAGCTTTAATGCAATCGTGAAACTCACAAACAGTAATTCAGTAATGACACTTGTACTGCAGTACAAGCTTTTTGCATTGCATGTAGCACATGTTATATAGCTTACACTTGCATTTTTATGGGTGTGTTACTGTTTTTAAAGCATAATCTGTAACCTTTTGGCCCATCAGTCTGACCTCCAACAATCTGGCAGCCTTGTCAGCTGCCTTGCTGGCTTCTATTCCCCCCATCTGTAATATATCTCCACCTATCGAGTAACAGCATCCACATTTATTCTTTCATTCTTCTATCACGCCAGCCTCCAATTAATCACTGCCTCTCCTTCTGGTGCCCTTTCCCCCTATCTGTACATCATTCCATCAGCTCTCTCCTCCCCATCTTTCATTCACGCCATACAATCTGCCGGCAGTTAACAATCAGGCCCGGTGGTCCCTGTCGAAATGAACTTCGACTTGGCTGTATCTGTACGCGTGTGTGTCTGTGTGTGAATCTGCGTGGTAGAGATAAAGTGAAACAAAGAGGGAAACAGCCACAGTAAACTACATGCAACAGCACATTTTTATATTCACAAACACAAACAGGCCTACATTCACATGCGCAAACAAAATACAGACGCGCACACATTATCTCAGACAGACAACAGACTGGGGGGCCTGTAAGTAGTACCTCCCCCAACTCCCTGAACTCCCAGTCCTGCTCAGCACCATCTGGCTCCCCTCCTGGCCTATCTAGGATGCCTCTGCTGGAGGGTGGTGATGGTGTGTGTGGGGCGGCGGGGTTCTCAGATCCCTGCTAAACTCTCCTTTCCAGCTTATGCTAACAAAGGGATTCCCCAGAACAAACAGCAAATTAAAGCTGGGAAAGTCAATCAGATGTGAACATTTGGAGCTATTCTTGCTGGAAATGCTCAATGAGGAAAATCTTTGCCACTGATAAAGCATTTCCAGCTCTAGTTTACTGCCAACTACAGCACGTTACATCTTATGCTTTTCTTTACAGTCATCCCATACACTGCCAGCTGAAGCCTGGCGTGGGTGGAAAAAAAAAATTGATCTCTCTTTGTGCCACTGGGGGCCTGCACTGCCAGAGCAGGTTATTGCTGCAGACTTAGCTTCTGTCTGCTTGGTTCAGACTAAAGCCTATCTTTTCTCTTCTCCTCATCTCTGGTGCTTTTTACCAGTGCTCATAAAATATGGATCCAGCAGGCTTGTCCTATACAACCTATGTGCAACTGGACATTTTTCCTTAAAATTCATATAGATTTGTCGCATACTGGAAAACTACATTGATATGGTTGTCTTAGGAAACATGTTTTTCTTTCTTATGATATATAGCTAATTATTTGCAATTGTGTGCAAGTGTGGTCAGTACAGCAGTTACAAGAGAACACAGATGGTGTGAAACCAGTAAATGTCTGCATATTTGTTGAAACGTCAGAACACTAATGATGTGAACATATCAGATTAAATTTGTCTCTGTGGGATTAGCAGACAGAAAATCCCTCCAGTTGATAGCCTTTTTGATACTGATAAAGATGGAATTGCCTGAAGCAAATTAAATAAAGGGACTCTGTCCACACTGCTCAGAATATTAAAAAACTGCTGCGGAAGATGACATGGGTTGTTTATTCAACACAAATAAACCTGAGCATTGTCCAATGACGCTGAGAGAGACACAGATATTCTGCCGCTTTTAAAGCTTTATGAGTCTGCAAATGTCTCCAATCACTCTTCATCGAGGAGAGAAGCAAACGTCTGAAAATATTAAAGCAAGGGCTTTAAAAACGACCTCAAAGAAATGCTCAATGGTGCAGAAGGGTGCAGGGATTTTGTGCTTTCCCTTAGATAACCCACCCTGCAAAGAGCCAGAGCCCCAAAAGGATCTTAGTTAAGTGAAAGGAGGTGGAAAATCTAGTGATGTAGCGGGCCTCGGGGTCTTAAGAAGCCCATTACCCATTATACAAGAACAAAGATTCATCTGATGCTCCAGTGATTTTTCCTCTTGGTGTATGCAAAAAGCAAACAATGAGAAGAAATGAGTCCACAGCCACACGAACTCTGCTGATTTGTGGTGAATACCAAACTAATAAAGGGAGGAGGAGCTTCATGTTTAGCCTAAGGGAGGTTATTACTGTAAATGGTGCAATGTGGTTGTCAACTCCCTTTAATTTCTTGATGGGAAATGATTGCACTGTACAGCAGAAGTGGGAACACGCTGATACTGGATTATATGTATTTAGCACTTAATTTCACCCAGTGAGGAGACGTTCAGCTGCACTATTACTTAATGTTCAGCAGAAACAGCAAAACTGCTTCATCTTCTGGAATGTTTAAAGAGGGCAGACATAAAATATTACATCGACAACAAAATTTAATCTAATGTAGGTTTTTACACAAACAGAGTTAAAAGCTTACAGATTTTTCACTGGAGGAGTCTTCGAACACCTTCTGCAAAGACTTTCTCACTGGCTCCGCCCCATCAGCAAACACCTGCAATAACACAAAGCACCGCAAAATTAAAACACACATAAGTATAGTTATTACTTTGACACCAAGAAGCAGTTTCAAGCATAAACTTACGAACACACAATATTTAGCTGCAGTAGTATTTATTCACCAAAATCGAATTTTACAGATTTCAATTAAACATCAAGCACTGCAAAGTCATTCAAAGTCAAACGTACCTGGTCAATTGAAGGGTGTCCTTTGCTCTTTCTCCTAGATGCGGTGTCCAGACCCCAGAGTGAGGAGAAACGGCTTCGACGTTTACTGAAGGTGCGAGGGAAAGGTTGGTTCCGCCTTCTCATGCTGCTCTCTGTACGGGCAGACACCTGTGACAGTGACAGTTACAGAAAACACAACAGAAATGAAACAGACACCTTGAACACCCGAATAAAAACAGTTTGACACACAAAAGCAATCATTTGCAGCAGCTACTGAATACTTTCAACCTCTAATCTCCTTCAGTCACCTACGACTTGGCACAGGGAAACTTTTCGTTCCCGTTTTTTGACTTCTCTGGGTTCAATCAGAGCTCAAATAGTATGAGCAACTATGCATTACACTAGTAGAGCTGGTCAGACATCAGACACGTACACTTCAAACATAACATCTTAAACCACTTTTTAGACTCATCTTCTCATTCCCCACATGAGAGGCCTTTATACTGTTATTACAGCCCGAATCTACTGTAGAAAGTAAGTGAAGGAAAAAACAGAAATATGGCTTTTGTGACCAAAAACTTTGAATACCAGAGCTGAGAGAGAGAACAATTATATTTCCCTTTAGGCAAGACAAATGAGTTCATTTGAATATTTTTGCAATTCATTAATTAGTAGCCATGAACAATTATTTTAATTGCATTTCATTTCATTTCAGTAGTTTTGCGTTACATGTATTTATAAATGTGATTCTCCTTATAAATATGCCACATTTATCATATTTAAGCGATGCAATAATGACATTTCAAATTAGTCAGAAGGGATGCGGTAATAAATAGAGTAAAAAGAATATGAAAGGGACAGGAGAGACATAAAAAAGGGCGGTATAAAATATGGCAGATAAGGAGAAGAAGACACTGAGGGAGCGAGACACAAACAAAGGAAGTGAGGGTGTAGGCAGTAAAAGGAGGGGGAGCAAGGGCCAGAGAGTGTTAAGCCTGTTTGTGGGAAACTGCCTCAGGGATGCTAGCTTGCTAAAAGAGTTTGTATTGATCGACCAATCACAAAAAACACTGTCAGTGCTTGATGTTGTGTGTGCGTGCTAGTGTATTTTTGGCATATCCGTTAGCTTGCTCGTATAAAACTGCTCTGTAGAGAAATGTTTTCCATGTTTTGCTCTTCGTTTTTGCTCTTTCTTCTTTGGATGATACTACGCAGAGCTTACAGCTCAATGACACACAATCGCATAGAGATCAGGTTGGGTTTCATTCTGTACATTCTGCAGCACTGAGATAATAACTTGGGTTTCAGAGAGGATTTATAGGTAGAATGTTTTGCTTTCACTTTTCTCTCAAGCTTTTAGGATAGCGTGTATGTGATACATTTTAATATGTGGTGTGTGTTTGCTTCGCAAGTCTGACTCTCTACCCATCTTGTTAAGGTAAACCATCTATGTAACCATAGCCTTGAGTGTTAGGCTTAAGAGTCACAGCTGTTTTTGCACACTTAGAATAAAAAACTTGCATGCATCACTATGACAGAAAGCAGAAATAATGCAGGTGTTCATTTCACATTTTTGATGCTACCAACACATCAACTTTGAGAGCTGGCACTTACTTATATCTACTTAAATTCCATCACTTAAACAAAATCTTTATAATGAGAAAATTATTGCTATAATTCACTTGTTCACCAGTTTTAATGTTGTGGCTAATTGCGTGTTACAGATAAAAACTCACTCCACTTTACAGCGCTCATGCTAACTTTGGGCCTGAGAATCAAACCAGCATACCTGGTTTGTTCATTTGTTTCATAACCTTGGGGTATATGGCAGTATCTATTTCTTTGAACATTTGTGAGGCAAGCAGAAATTCTTGCTTTCAGTAGGCGTATGTGACAAGGCACTCACAGGCAGATAAACACACCCACTCTTCAAGCTGGGCTGTTATTGAGGGTCGACAGTTGGAAACCTCTCATGCAATCTCTACACGGAACATGTAGAGACACGTGAGTCTGACTTTTCAGGTTTGGATTCATGAGCTCCGATCAAGTTTACTAAAAAATTGCAACCTGAAAAACACCAGCACTAAACATGTCTAATCATACCAGTGCATGGAAGGAGGAAACAGAGAAGATCCCCAGTCGTCCCATGGCAACTTTTGTGGGACGTGACGCGAAGCCCAGGAGGCGTTTGGGATTGGGAGGTTCACCGCCCTGCAGACTCGCCAGGTAGCAGCGGCAGCGGAAGAGATCTATGTGAAATCTCTCCAAGTTCTGCTCCCACAAGAAGATCTATAAGCAGCAGAGATTACAGAGTAAAAAGTCATGCGTGTGTGATTATGCAATATAAACAAACTTTGCTGATGAGATCCAGATTTATTCAGTTTTATCTCTAATGAGAACAACAACAAAAAATAAAAAGATAAAGAACCGACGCTGTGTTAGGTGGTTATTCGGCTGTTTCAGGAGAAGTGAGATGTGGGAGTACTGCAGCCCCTGTGGAGAGGTATTACTCACCAACACAGCCCCCACCAGTTGGTGACCTGCTGTTCTACGTGCAATGTATCACAGGGTGGGCCGTGGGAGGTGAAACACGGGGACACACACTCACAGTGAAACACAAAACTAGACTTAACGCTGCATTAGTTCCCGTGGTCACCTATGTGGAAGTGTGAAAATATTAACACAATTAAAAAATATAAAGAATTACGGAAGTAGAAGTTTTAATGTTTTTTCACATTTGTTTGTTCCCCTCACCTCTCCTCAGATTTATTTATAAAGTTTACATAAATATGTACAGATAAAATAAATAAATATAATTATCATTCAAATAATTGCAACAATTCTTATATGTTTTATATGTCATTATATTTCCACACTTTCCACTTTTTGATCTTTTATTTTTCTTTATCTCTGTGGTTAATCCCCATTTTCTTTTTTTCCCACAACTATATCCTTATTGGCAGCTCCGTGACTCAACTGAAAGAAGTCAGTCAATGACATAAACCCTGCTTGAGGCTTGTTTTCTTCTTTGATGCCACAGTTTCAGTTACTATGTCTTTACAGCAAACAATCAAAGTGCTTCCTTTTAAATTGCAGCTCTTTTACTTGATGAGGATTAAGTGCTTTCTAGTTCCTTTTATGTTACATATAACAAGAAATAGAAAGAGCATTATGCAACAACACCAGTATAAAGACAGATGCAAAGACTTGCTAGGACAAGGAGGCTTATTGTTAATGACCACAATTCTAGGCTTTTTTTCTTTTTGTAAGATTTTCCAGTCAGTACTGGCTACCATCACCAGCAACTCCAGACATCCTGCATGGAATAAGCCTAAATCAATGTTCTTTTGAAACTGAACAAAAACGGGTTCTGGAAAAGATTTGAAAAAGTTGCAATGTTCTTAAAAGACCTCTTGAATCTAAAAAGATTAGTCAGGTTTACCTGTGTGCTATGTGTCTGTATGCACTGCGTGCAAGTGGACTTGCATGTGTTTCTAAATGAGCGCCAGCTGGAATAAGTGAAACCATTTTTGGTTGGAAAGGCTGCTTTAGAGCATTTTTGCCTGGATGACGGCATGCTGTAAAGATGATTTAGTGCCATGATTTCAGTGCCGGAGAGTGTCGGTGCAGTTTAAGTCACATCTATAAACTGCCTTCAGGTGTTTTCATTCAAATTAACTGGAAGATAAAGAGGTGAGGACGGTTTTTAGTCATGAGATAACAAACCTCCTTACAGTCGCATTTTATGGGCATAAAGTGTTATTAATTTGCAATAATATGACAAAATTAAAGGGCATTTGTCTCATAGGTGTTGTTTCTGTAATGCTCCACCACCTCATGTACAGCTTTAACCTGTTTGACCGCTTTCAGTATGTCAGACTCCTTGACACTTAGCTCCACTTTTAGCCCCAAACGACCACCCGATTGACCCCATACCTGCTCAAGTATGGTCTTTCTCTTCTTGCCATCAGTGACAGTGGACAACTGCATGTCTCCCATTTTCTTCATTTTCTCATCCATATCAATCTTCTGCTCCAGCTTGCGGATTTCAGTTCGCAGCAATCGCACGGTGTCCTCCCTGTGGTGCTGCCGAGCAAGAGCAGTAGCACACGCCGAGTGGATCGCCGTGATCCAGTTTTCCAGTTCTGTTTGGCCTGATGTCTGAACAGAAGGACGGGACCGTGACAAAGTGAGTAACGATAGTGAGCAGATAAAATAAAGAAACTGACAGCTGAAAGAATTTAATCATGACTTCCAATATCGGCCTCTGGGAGGAAATGGTCATTATAATCTCATCATCATTTTATTACTTTCTTCCCATTCATGAATTAAATGTCAGTGAGGAGAGCTGTCATGAATATAAATAGACAGATTTTAATATTACACAATGGTCAGTCTGGTGGATCACTGTCACGGTGTGACAGCGTGGCCTTTAAACATGTCAAACATAAACACAAGGACACAGGGCTGCCTATCTCCAGCACATGATGAACATGTATTGGTGTGCCACATGCAAATCCCCTAGAGGAAAATAGCTTCCAGTTTCCTGTTTCTCTTTATGTTTGATGCTGGTATGTACAGTAGCACCAAATAACAAAGACAGGATATAAAAACACTGGACCTGTATGCATTAATGCCAACCTGATTTAACTTTAACTTGCATAAAATATTGTCATGCCAACTCAGCTTTAAGAGTAGCCGATGTTTTAAATTCCAGTGCTTCTCTCACCTGGAAGAGGAAAGCATCTCCCACTGAGTTGCTGAGACAGAAGACAAAGTCTTTCTTGGGATGCTCAGGTACAGCTTGGACAATGCTGTTCTCCACCCACAGCGCGTGTTTGTGAACGCTGTTGTGGTCGATACCTGAACGGCCATCGTATTCATACAGGAAGAGGGTGCAGCCTTGAAGAACGCACAAAAAGAAAGGAGTTTAAAAAAAAAAGACAAAAATATGTTTTTTTTGTTTTGTTTTGTTTGTTTTTTTACAGAGGTTATAATAAGTACCCTTAAATCAATTTAAACATCCTTCCTTTCCCTGAACTTTATTTAAACAACGATTATAATACGTAATAGTTTAATACATGAACCTATTTTGCTATCAGTACAACTAAACCTATAACATTACATTATGAAGATAAGACTGATTTATTTTTAGCATGATGCATAGAAGAGATGCTCTATCTTATGCATTTCAACAGGACAGGATCGGATTAGGCATGGATTTCGCCGTAAAATTAAATTGTGATGAAGCTGAGGGGAGGAAATGCAAGGCTGCATTGAAGAGCGTGAGAGAGGACAGCAGAGGTGAAAACCAAGGGCAGGGAATGTGTTAAAGCTTATATGAATGTAGTTTAACAGCAGAGAGAGTGTATGGAAGATTAAACAGCTTTGGGTTGGTTATCTGAATGAGATTAAGATTATTTTCTTAGTTGCAGAAGCATTTGAAACCCAGCCACAGAGGCCACAAGCCAGGAAGCTGCTAGTGTCGGTCGGATTGCGGCAGCAAGTTCATTCAACTTAAAATCTGTGCCAACTCAAACATGTGGCACAAGAGAGGTGTTAAAGAAAGGAATGCACATAGGGTGGAGTGGGTGGAGACAAATGTCAAGGGTAATGTGTGAGATAAGGATAGCAGCAAGACTGAGAGTGAAGGTTTACAGGAAAGTAGTGAGGCCTGCTATAATGTAAGGCTTGGAGACGGTGGAACAGACACAAACACAGGAGACAGAGCTGAAGATGCTAAGATTTTATTGCTGGAAGGAGAGAGAATAGAAAGATTAGAAATCAGTAGATCAGCAGGACAGCTCAGGTTGGATTTGGACATAAAGTTCCAGAGGCAAGGCTGAGATGATTTGGCCATGTGCAGAGGATATTTTGGAAAAGTGATGTTGAATAAGGAGCTGCCAGGCAGGAAGGAAAGAGGAAGACCACATAGTAAGTTCATGGATGTAGTGAAGAGGGACATGCTTGGTTTGCGTGACAGAGGAGGATGCTAGAAATAGAGTAAGATGGAGGCAGATGATCCAGTGTGGTGACCCCTAAAGGCAGCAGCCAAAAGAGTAAAGGTGCAGAAGCATTTTTATGTACTAACAATTGTGCTTAGTTAAGCATTCATAAAGTACTCAGACTGAAGCTGGATGGACACCTGCTGCCTTACAGTTTCTGCCTGTCTATCAGTCACACGCAGGTAAAATCCAACACAAACATTAAACATAATAGTGCTGAAAATCGGTGCAACACCTTTCAGAGAAACCCAGTATTGTTTCCACTTGCGTCTCGCTGCAGGTTCCACCTTCTTGTTTTTCTTATGAACCAGGAAGTTCTTCACAGCCAGAGTCCCTGCTTTCCTGACTGTGCCGTGTGCACAGCTAATCAGAGTGTCAGGCGGATACATACTACTGAGTGTGCCGCTACTCTGCTCATCACTTACAGCAGAGCCTGCCTCCTCTGTGCAGTCTCGGCCCCGATTTGTCTGACGAGAAAAGATTAAGGAGTTAGAAATACACGGAATTTACCTATATTTTAATACGTAACATAGGAAAAGTGTAACTAACCCAGGCTTGATTGTCTAGCTCCTTCCGGAAATTTTCATAAACTCCCCCCTTGCCTCCTTCGCCTCCTCTTCCGTCAACTCCTCCAGCGCTGCTGCTCCCACTGTCGCTGCCATTAAAAAAACTGCTCTCTGTAGCTGAGTACACTGAAAAAGAGGCAGACATGGCCTTACACCGCCGGGAGAGCAGTTCTCCTTCTCCATCTATCTCAGGGGCAACGCCATCAATCCCACTGTCGCCATACTCGCTCCCCTCGCCTAAAACACCAGAGATGTCCTGTCATCCAGAAAAACAGGGTAGAAACAGATTAAGCATTATTAATGGACGGAAACTGGTTTATTTGCACAAAATCAGACAGAGAAGTAACAGCTTCAATCTGCATAACACAAGACGTTAATTCTCTCACACAGAACTGACAGCGTAGGCTGCACAAGCAGTTTCTAGGTTTACTTTTGTTTGTATAAATGAGTTGGCAGTTGCATAAGTGCACTTTAATATCCTTTTGTGCTCATTTTTGTATGAATTTCTGATTTTAAAAAAAGGCTTTCCACTTTGAGTATGAAATTTTCTGTGCTTTCACCAAACTGAGTCTCCCTCTGTTCTTTCGTTTTGTTTCACTGTGCTGTCAGTCTATTTATATCTAACAACCCCCTCAGCCTGACTAGATGAATTTATAATAAGCACTTATGGCGATCTCTATCCAAGGGTGCTTGGGGGTTCTGGGAATGCATTGAAAGAAAAGCTTGGTTCAGTATTTTGGTACTTTTTGTTTAGCAACTTTGTTTTTATCAGTGATGCACGGCAACTAGGGAGGCATGGATATTATTATTTATTCTACTAATTTAGCTTTTATGTTTACCTGCATGAACGTTACATAAACTTTACTTTCCTCCTCTTACCCTTTGATTTGATCTGTTTTAGTAAGATGACAAAGAAAATCCTCTAGATAAAGTTCAAAGTTCAAAATGTCTTTGTCGTTCAAAGCTCAGTATGTGAGCAGAAGTCCCACGGTGACTTTCTATCTGACTATCTTTCTGTGTAATCCTCTTCCCAACTGCACAAATATACAAACATGTTTGGATGCTTGGATTTGCAAAGATATAACATGCATATACACCAGTCCAGAGCACAGACAGGAAATTCCGTTGGTTGTCAACAACATGTTAATTACTTGATGAACTGGTGTCATGTCTGTGATGCCCCTGAACTTCCTGGACAGCACTGGTAAACAAAGTCCTCTATTATTCTAAGTTTAGAAGTCTGTATTTTTTCCAATACTGGAAAAAAATAGAGCAAGAAGACTTTTACCCTTAGTCCTGTTCCATCTGCTTTCAATACTTATCGGTATATATATTCATGAAATACCTGAGTAGTCTGTGCGCGTCGTCCCTGGAAGGTAGGGCAAGGTGTAGCCGGAATACCGAGCCCAGTCAAGCCTTCAGAAAGGCAGTGTGAGCGTCGGCAGGGGAGCGTGAAAGCTCCATACCCCCCACCATCATCCTCTGCTGGAGACATCAAACCCTCCTCCACTTCCCCGTCTCCGTCGCACTCGGCTTCTCTGCAGTTTTTTATGTAACGGCTTCTTTGCCCCCTGAAGCCCGGACTCTGCTGGCTGCACAGATGGTCCAGAGACGATGCCCTCTCAGTTGAGCCTGGAACACACACACACAGGTGGTTATTGCAGAGCACAGTGTGTATTTGTGGGCAAGGTGAGTTCTGATTACTGTCAGGTACTTTCAGTTACCTCTGAAACATTTGACCTTCTCCATATGTGCCTGTGTCCTTCAGTGAAAGTCTGTGATTTTTCTTGAGTGATTATGAATCTGTGTGTGTGTGAGGCAAACCCATACATTATTCTGAATGAGACGACCACCTATGGCAGTGCTTAGACCTTCAGCGGTTGAGTTACCAGGTACCGCCTGCTGTCACACTGAACCCCTGCAGCTCCTGCACAAAACCAGTTAAGCTAACAACCCTGTGATCAGTTGAACTGCTGCAACTGATAGATGGCAGCTAACCTTCAATCAGCAGATTTTCTCAGATCATTTTCTCCCTGCTCAGTGAGTGCCTGCAATTTTCCCACTACCCTCCCTCTCATCACCTGTTCACTGAATCAAATCAACAGCTTTGTTCCCCTGAACTTTTTTTCCCCCCACTTATTAGCCATCACCAGTGTAGCTGTCGTTATTTTTGGACAGCTACATTGTCTTGTCTTTTGCTTTTATTTGTTGTTGTTTTTTAAATAATACAAATAGAAATCTTGAAATATATTTTAATTCTATTGTATCAGAAAATATGTCGGTGAATACTTCAAGTCATCAAATAAAAGCATAGGCCCCACATATCCTGTCACTAATGATGTCTACATTTCTGAATGAGAAAACTACACATGCTTTCTGCAGGTCTATACAATCTACCGGTAAATATGATGCTTTTGCTTCTGTGTACATTCTCACCTGTGCTGCCTTTGCTGCCTCTAGGGCATCTAAACTGCCCCTCCTCCTCTTCTCCTCCATCGACCATCTCCTCTGTGCTGGTCAGATGCTCCTGGCTGAGGTCAGACATAGAAAACTCCAAGCTGTCTTCTCTCCACATGTCTGCTGACTTTGATCGCTTCTTTTTATTACTTGCTCCCTCTCGGGGTCCTTCAGTCATTTGCTGCAGGAACCTTTCCTCTCCAATAGTGTCCCCTTCTCCCGTTGAGTCCTCTTCTCCATCCTGGGCAATGGTGTCTGCCTCTGAGGTTTCGGGAGTCGGCGTGGCCAAGGGGTCATCATCGTGCTGATAGGACTCCGGCCTCATTGTCATAGCGACACGCTGGGTCCAGTGAGGGTTGATGCCAAATTTGTCAAACTCATCTGCTGCATTGAAAAACTCTAGTCCGTTCTCTACCAAGGACTGAGGGATGCTCGGGGTGCTGGAGGAACGGGTTGAGGCTTCAGAGTTTCTGTGATTCTGCTTCACTGAGGAAGAGTGCCTCGAACGGCGGTTGATTTGCTGCTTGTTGGAGACACGGAGTGAGCGGGTCGTGTGCTTACGGGAGAGATGTCTCGGCACATCACCATGGATACTACTCTCTCCATTTTGACTCTCCACGTTTCCCATGATTCAACTGTGGATCAAGTAATAAAGTTTGCATATTACATAATTTAGAAAACTTCTTCTTAAAAGATCAGAAACCAGATACAAAAGTAGTTTAAAATTATTCCGTAATGTTTGCCACATCATACGGTATAAGATAATATATTTGCATCTTTACTTGTATGCACAAATTTTATGAATCACAGAAAGTCATTAGCACACACAAATTGCATAAATGGGAGCTGGTGTCCTATCTAATGGTGAGTGAACAGTGTCAAATTCACAAGTAGCAGCACAGATTTTAGACAACACGCATATCTGCCATCTGTTGTACATGGATGACTTTGTGGAGATCAAAGAAAGAAGAAAGAGTTTGAATTAAATAAGAAAATTAAAAAAGATTTAAAAAACTTAATCAGTCCTTTCTGTTAAAGGAGGCGTCTGGCCTTGAGATTTTGTTAGTAGCCTTAAAATGTGTTCATTTCAACTACAAAAACTGTCAAATACTCAAAGCAGGTGCCAGACCCCTGGTCAGATATTCTGTACTAGAATATCTATCTATGTAAGGTCAGTCGATTTTGATAAAAGAAAAGAAGAAAAATAACCTCACAACTGGCAAAAGTAGTGGTTTAGATATACAACTTGTTTCTGAATCAATATTAAATTGACAAATCTGTCTTTTAATTGCAATGTCAAAACATTTAAACAAATATTCCTTGTGTGCCATACTTCTAAAAGTAAAAAGGTTTGAACCAGCCCTCTGCAAGATTTCAATTGCTGGTAATGAGGTCCATCAGTGTGCTGCATGAGAGGTTTGATGGCACATTAAAACTTATGGCTCAAAAGTATCAGTGGTCTCATTTGATTTGCACAGCATGCTTGGATGTGTACGCACATTATATAAAAGGTTTGTTAAAAGTTTCCTGCTTTTCCATTTTATCCTAGCCTGCTGTTCATAATGCATCAAAACCTTCTTTGCTTTTCTAAGTGCCTATAAAATCTTTAAAAAAATGAAATAGCTGAAGTTATAAATCTCTCAACTCTGACTAATTTAAGTGTTCTGCCAGTGCACTTTTGAACTCCAACACAAATGCACTGCAGCGCCTTTTCTCCCTGAGCAGTGTTCAAATTATGCACTAGCTATATTCCCAACACAGAGAATCAAAACAATCAAAGAAATCACTTTAGAGCTGTGTTATTTTCATCATGAAGTTATCTCAGCAGCCCACTTCACCTCAATCTCTCTGTTACACAAGCACATGGAAGTGCTGAGTCAAAGGCTGTCGGATCAGTTTGTCCTCAGAGAGTCACACATCATCAAACCCACACCATCAGGTTCTCAGTGTGGGCTCGAGCTGCAAAGACACTGGTGAAAAAATCTGCCTTAAAAAGTAGTTGTTTTTTTGCTTGTGTTTAGTCTATCAGTCCTTAAAAATCTATTATTTCTGGAGATTTGTGCATCATTAAAGTGTGAAAACTGTAGTTACCGATGATTAAGCAGCCACATCACCAGCTTCCCCGCATCAGAGCGTTGCGATCCCATAATCCTCCACACATCCTCATACGGTGGTGTCAGTCTGCCCTGACAGAAACAAGGAGAGAGAGAGATCTTTAGCAGTGCTCTCACAACTTCAAAGTGACCTGATGTGTCAAACGCACACAGAGAAGAAGTGAGAAGACAAGTAGAAGGAAGGAGTACCTGCCCAGTATGTCACATAAAGCTGGTCAAGTAAAGCTGAAAAGGCAGCTGTGAAGAGTGCAATATAAGAAAGTCTGTAGAATATGAATGTGGATGATAAAAGGGAATAAATCACAATGGTTTTTAAGATAATGCAGTTTGACTAAAAAAAAGACAGAGAAACAAGAAATAATCAAATGCACACATATAAACAGCTCATCAGAAACAAAGAAAAGACGTATTGTCTGAGCCTGAAGGGTTTTTTTGGGGGGGAAGGGAAGGGGGGACTCACAAACAACCACAATTTCTTCTAACTCTACCCTGAAACTCACTGCCCACCAAATCCACGCAGACGTGTACCGGCGTGTGCACAAAACATTTTGGGAAACACCCCCTATTTCGGTGCAGACAAAGAGAAGCGCACACACATACACACCAACAGCAAAATGACAGAAGATGAAAGAAGCTATGGGAACGATTTTGTGCTTAAGACTCAATTAAATGATCCATGCCAACACGACCTAATTTTCTCTAATACCAGCCCTGAGCTGCGCAGAGTAGACCGAGATTTCCATAATGTGCTATGTATAGTGTGAAGGAATGCAAGAGCAAACATGCTTGCTGTTGTGAACATTTGCCCAGTAGTTAGTCTGCTGAAAACGCATTTGACTGCAGCCGGATAAGCCAATAAGCAGGAAAATGATGGAAGAAAGCCCTCGTGTTGCCATGTACAACAATGTACTTTCAAAGCATATGGCCACTAGCGCACTGTTTGGAGCATCTGTTTTGAGATACCACATCTGGTGAGTCACCTGTTTTTCGAATGCAAAAGCATCAATTGTTCCCCCGAGGTCTATGTTGCAGGTTTAAGTAAAATCTTAATTTTACTAAACTTTGACTGCAGCTGCTATTTTTTTCTATTAGTGTTGTTGTTCTATATACAGTAATCTTTTTTTTTTATTCTCTGGGGCACAAAAACAATAAGTCAACCGTGTTACAGTTCTGGGAAATGACACAGAAATGAGAATTTAGATAACAAGAAGTAAACAGGACAATAAGAGAAGTGAAGGCATCTGATCAGAAACCTGATGGAAACTACAAAGAGGATTTTCAACTCTGACTTTGCACCACAACACCATGTGTGCAAACGCATCCGAGATAGGCTAGTGCAGCGCATCCCAACCCCAGCTGTGGGAAGCAGTTACATAAGCTGAACTTGACCCTGATACAGCTCTCCTGCCTCTCATGCAGTCCTTTATATCTCATCTCTCCTACACCCTCTGTCCCACTGAGGCCGACCCACATGCTGCCCCCCACCCACCTTAAAAAAATAGGCTGAATATTCATTTTGGGCTCATGGCTCCTCTGCTGGTTCATTTTTAACAATTACTATAAAAACAGGACTTCATTGTCTCAGCTGGAGTGTTTTATAGATAGATTAACATGTGGAGTAAATGCAAATCACTAACACACAAAAACACTGATGACCCTTTCACTGAATTTATATCCTTTTTGCAAACCCATATATTCTATAACATACAGGCTATGTCGGGAAGGTGCAAAACACACACACAAATGCACAGGGGTCAAACAAACAACACAATCCTGAGTGACAAAACACAGGGGAAATCAAACCACTGCCTTTCCTCTGGCAGTGTACAGTCTAAAATGTTTAGTCTCTTCATTTTTCCTCTTCCCGGTGCCCCCCAGCAAGGCACCGCAGAGGGAGAAGGGTAACAAGGAGAGGAGGGAGAGCTCTCTGTTAAACCCCTGTAGAGCTGAGAGGTGAGGCGAGGCTGGGGGCGAAACACATGAAGAGGGGTGGGGGGAGGTCGAGTCTGGTACAGACAGAGAGGGAGGGGAAAAAATACTGGGGTATGAAAAGAAGTTTGATAGGGAAAAGTGAGAAAATGGGAAGGAGGAAGAAATAAAGACGGCGTGAGAGGGAGAGATAAAGTCAGAGAAATTGGGGGGTCCTATTGTTGCTGAGCTTTAAGTGGATAAGTAGACATGTGCTCAGTCTGCCTCTCTTCAGGCTTAATTGAGGGAGCCGAGACAAAAGGGGAAACATAATTATTCGCTCTCTTTCTCTCAGCCTCTCATTCTCGCAGTATATTAACGCATCGGGAGAGTGTATTACCACGGCGCACCGTGCAACAGCCGCCAAAGCATCATTACCATGCACACATGCCCACTCGCAATCAAGCACACACATGCACACACACACACACACACACACACACACACAGAGGGGACAAAGAAAGAAAACTGGAGACAACAAAATTCCATATTTAATCTCCACAACTGAAGATAAAAAAGGTAAGCATTGTCTAAATATGTCACAAACAGCAGCACTCACATCTGTCTGACTACAAACCACACAGGGCCGAGGATTACCGGGACTGGAGGCTCCTTTTACCTGCGCTGCCGATAACAGCTCTCTACTGGAGCTGTCACATTCATTGTCAGTTGCTCCACACCTATAGGCCCGCACGTCTATCACCTAACGCATGAACGTAGTTTGCTGTGGCACACGGCGGAGTACTGTGGAATAAAGGCAGGCGCACACTTTCAGTCAGACACACCTGCAGGATCCCAAGAGAAATGAGAGCTGGTTTTTCCGAGTCACAGCATGCACTCACACTTTTTGGAAAAATACCAAAGGCCTGTCAGAACACACTCAAAGGAGACACACCCTGCCAATCTTTTCATCTCTGCACCTGTCTCACAGCACCGCCCTACGTGACACACAGCTCAGCTCAGCAGACGCAAACTGTACGTGATGCTGATGTAGCTCTACACTGTACTGCAACTGAAGCCAAACAAAACATGTCACTTGTTGTCTTTCATCTCGTCACTGTGTTGACTGTATCTGGAAAAAGATGTTGCAACCAGACACACTGAATTTTCACAAGTGAATCACTGAGCTCACTGTTAAAGACAACAACTCATCACGACATCATAGTATTTTACAAATTTACTTCTATGGCGGAAAACAGTCTCTCACATGCTTTTGGGCCGCTTTGAAGCCCTTAACGACACTCTTTAGATGCGCTTCATCCAAAAACCTAAAAAATGATGCTTAAAAAAGGAGATCAAAAGAAATAAATCCAATCTCTGCTAAAGACTGCAACAGTGACTACGCTAAACATTGCTGAAACCAGAAAAGCTCCCAGCTTGACTGACCTTACTTTACATCTTCAAACTACAACACCCCCCACCAAGCTCTAAAACACATGACGTAATTATTGGAATCACCCTTCCCTGAGGCCTTTCTCCTGCACCTCTCACATTCTTTGAATTGTTACCATTTCTCCTCCCACTTGGCGGAGTGAGGTTTTATGCTTACTCTGGGGAGTTAAAAAAAAGGAATTACTATTGGAGGAAAATTCAATCCAAAAACAAGTCCAGACAGACTGCCATGGGAATGTGACAACAAGGCCTTATCAGAGGATCTCTATGCTCCTCTTTTTTTGCATGCACACCTGCACACACCACATGTTAGCAAACCACCAAACTTACCAAAATAAGAGCATGTTTGGGTGCAGGAAGCCTCTTGGTCCAAATGAATAAGAATCACTGGGGTTATTCACAAGTATGCATCTGTTTGCAAACATAGGTGGGCACATTGTTCACATTTGAGGAGGAACCACGTCTATCTAATGCCAAGACAAGAGTCAGATATGCTTTTGAAAATATACCACTGTTGCGACGGCAGTGCACGCTCCGCCGCACTCCCACAGTTCTTTTGAGACAGGACTGCCTGAGACATCACCAGCAGAATTCCCTGGAAGAGGGAGATTAGCTTCTATTCATCCTTCCGGGATCTGACAAGGCACGCGCCCCAATTCTAAGCTTAAACACACATGCAGATACACAAACAGTGTGTGGCTGCAAGCACGAGTCTCGACTCCTTAAATCAAACATTAATTTCTTTTAACTGGCGAGGGACAAATGATAATTCCTTCCTGAAGAGGGCTTTCATTTTGAGGCCACAGAAGCAAAACGCAGAGATGACAGAACAAAGTGGAGTGGAAGGATATGAGATGATTGTTATTCATTCACTATGTTCCCCACTGCTTGTCATCCTCTAACACAGAAGCGGAGAAAATTAGACCGGGTTTTATTTTAGTAGTGACAAAACAATTCCTTTAAAAAATGTTTTTGGAAAGCTAGAAAAAAAATGTAGCACAGATTGGCAATGTGACGTAAAAGACTTGAGATTTGGGGTCAGTGTGGCAACCGAGGATCATGTTTTAAAAAAAAAGATAAAGGCCAGTGGAATTCACTGTCAGCCAATTCACTCTGCTTGGCTCCTCAAGTGTCACTAACCTCATTAAATACGCTCCTCTGGCTTTCTAAGAGCTTACGCTGTATGCTCCTTAACTCAGATTTCAGCTGACTGTCTCTGCAGCAGGGTGCAGTCAGGGATTACCATATTTTAAAGAAGATTTTCTTCTACCTCCCGCTCTCCATTGAGCGAGGAGCCCGAGAGAGTCAATGAAAGTGTGTAGATTTTGATGCTCTGCTCTGTAGCTACTGCTACAACCTCAACTATCAGGAGTCGCTGCATGAATTCAAAGTCAGGAAACCCCACAATTTAACCTCCATTACAATGCAAGGCTTTTACACTAGAAGATCAAGATATCTCTGTATTACATCCAACTCAGACTCTTGTTGTATGTCATATGTGACATGATAAGGTCAAAACCACATGTTGTAGCGGACTGACTGGCACGTGAAAAACTACCGTGTGCGGTTTGTTAAATATTAATAAATCATCCCCTTTTTTGCCATTGCTCAATCAACGCTCACTCGTCCTTCCTGATGAGATGGTGATTGCGCAGACAATCGGTTCGCAGTCATCAAAACCAATCAACTGAATATTCATGTGGTGATTTTCT